TAACATTTTATAAAGATAATAATTAAGTATTTTGTTAGAACTCAATGATTATCCTAATTATATTTTAGATTTTTTATATTTAAAATAAGATGTTTATCCTGTATTTGATTGTGTTTATCTACAGTTAGTTACACGGATTCAGTTATGGGATGAAATCGAATAGGGATGAACGGGTTTAAGAGTTTTAAGAGTTTTTAAGAGTTTTAGCCAAATGCATTATAATATAGTATAGATATAGATTATGTGTTTTTAAGAAAGCGATAATGTTTTTATTTTTGAATAAAATACAAATTTGAAAAAAAAACAATGTTAATATCAAATCAACTATTTAAAAGTTTTATTTTTTATGTTATTTCTTTAATTTATTTTTTATTATAATTTAATTTAAGTTTAATAATGAAATAAATTATTTATGGTTCAATACTATAACATGTTATGAAGATAATAATTAAGTATTCTGTTAGAATTCTATGATTATCTTAATTATATTTTAGATTTTTTATATTTAAAATGAGTGTTTATCATGTATTTGATTATGTTTATCTGCAGTTAGTTACACAAATTTAGATATGGAGCTTTAATAAGTTGTACTTACACACAATCTATTTGTAATATTGAGTTTTAAGTAATATGCATTAATAAACAGTACTTTACGCATAAAAAAATGGTTTTTAAGAGTTTTTGTCAAATGCTTTATAATATAGTATAGATACTATTTAAAGTAGAGATCGTGTTAAAACTAAATGTAACTTTGTTTCAACAGAGATTCTGATTTTTAATTCTTTCTAAAGAACTATGGAGAATGTTTAGAATACATGTGTATCATTTTCAATGGTAAAATTAAAAAACTTGATGAAAAGGTTGATAGCTATTTGATGAAAAAGTTAATTATTAGAAGAATAATTTGATATTTATAGTTCTTCAATAAAGAATACTTTATGCGTAAAATAATTTTTATTTATCAAATATTTTATAATATAATATAAATAATAAATAAAAAATACGATTCTAAAGACTTGATAATTAAAATAAATATTTAAAACATTGATCATTGAAATAAGTATTTAAAGAATTTAGTGGAAATGGGACTCTGAGACTTTACCAATTACCATTGCGGGTGCTCATCGTTGCATAAGGTTTATATCAACAGGGGTCCTTGGTACGCCGAGCCGACGATCGGTGGTGAATCAGAAGAGATCTTCCCTATTTGCTGCTATGATGCTCCAAATCAAAGTTGATAAACTTTTGGATTGTTAGGATTCACTTGACGAAAAGGGGATTAACCCCTAGAATCTGCGTTACCATTTACTGATCGTAGAATTCGATTTCAACGACAAAGAAGATGGATGACGACGTAGAAGAACTGAGCAGAATCGCCGGCGAACAACACCGTGAGTTCATGGCGGCCCGAGTCGTCGACTCCGACCTGGACCTAGCGTTCCGCCTCCAACTCGAAGAAGCCATATCTGCATCTCTCGCTTTTCAACCCTCTTCGTCTACTTCACCAACACGGCCTCAACAACCGCCATCGCTGGTCTCGGATCACGACCGTGCAAACACCGTCGCTGACCTCCAAACCCTAGAGTTTGAAAGATTCGAGACGGAGATACGAGACCGCGTGCTGATCAAAGCCGAAACGAAGAAACTGCAGGCAGATCTCCACCGTCGAATCCACGATGGGAATGTTGCTCGCGAGATTTTGCACATGCCAGTGCATCAGTGGCTAGAGGTAGGCGACAATTTCGAGCGTCCTTACGGCGAGGGTTCTTCTTCTTCTTCGAAAAGCGAAGTCGATTCAGAGATTTTTAGCGTTTATTTCAAAGGTTTGCTGAGCGAGGAGAGAGTTGATGGGACTGGTCCTTTACAGAAAACAGTAACAATGGCGGGGATTGGTGTGGCGATTTGCGATTCGAGGGATGGGTTGATTTTTGAAATGAGAAAGCCATTGGATTTGAAGGAAGATGATCGGACGAGCAGACAGAGTATGGAGGGGAAGGCGTTGATTGAGGCTCTCAACGCTGCTATTGCTTTGGATCTCAAGAGAATCGTATTATATTGTGATTATTATACACTATATCAATATGTGAGTTGTTTTCTTCCTTTTTCCCAGTTCTGTCCTTAATTTTATACTCGTTTTGTTGACTTTATCTTCATTTTCATATTGCAAATGATGTGAATGTTCTTATAGTCTCTCCAGTACCAAATGCATTTCATTGTTAACTGTAAGAGAAAGAGATGACCAAACCAGTTGTGTGAAGTTTGTAACTGTATTGCACTACATATAATGGTTGGGTACAAACGAGAAAGGCGTTCCAAGATCACTCGTGATTACATGTGATACGAAATCTCAGTAGAGTCTTTCAGTGGCATGTTTCGGTCCTCTTCCCGATTACTCTCCAAGATCACTCGTGATTACATGTGATACGAACACTTAATCGTATATGATTAAACACATTTTGCATTGACCTTCATATAGTGGTTGGCCTTCCTGGTCGGTTTCACCAAGTCACCCGCATCCCTTTTGGACGTGTTTAAACATATATGATTGAGTGTTCGTATTTCATGTAATCATGTGTGATCTTGGAACTTCTCGCCTTCTCATAAATTGATTAACTTTTTGGATGATCCTTCCTCTGTATCTATATATAATCCCCTTCTTTTACAAACCCAGCAATTCGTTCAAACTTACAAACCAATTTTAATATGTTGTATCGTATATGAAACAATATGTGTGAAATATACAATGCTGTTTACATGTGAAGCGTTAAGGACTGTTTACCCACATATGAAACAACAGCGTATAAACACCGCAATTTCACACATGCACATGAAAAACTGGTTTGTAAGTTTGTAGAAATTATTGGGTTTGAAATGATTATGCATCTATATATATAGATTGAATGAAGTTTTGTAATTTATTCCTTGATGTGTTCTGTTATAAGATCAACTGCTGCTATTGAAAGTTTGAAACATAATCAAACTATCTGTAGTGGAAACTAGCTCAACTTTCTAAAGGCAAGATGGCAAGCTCGAAGATGACTGCATTTCTAACTACAAAATATAAAACACCTTTCATGCTCTGTTAATAATTTACTGTCGTTGCATCATTGTTGATGGATTTATAAATCTTAAAAGTAATATTCTAAGAGTTTTGGTTCTTGTACTTTTAAACAATTATTCTTCATCATTTATTTATTTATTCTGCTCTCTGCCTATTGGATTGTCCTTACAGTGTGTCGGCAATTGCAGGTTTTTGGGCGGTGGCAGCCAAAACAACGGAAAATGAGAGCGTTTGTGAATCAAGTGAATCACCTTCGGAAAAATTTCACCTACTGTGTGCCCGCCCTTGTTGCTCGGAATGATGTCAAATTTGCATTTAAACTTGCAAGAGAGGCAATACTTTCTCAGATAACCAAGGCAGTGGAATCAAGTGATGTCAGGCTTGAGAATTGTGTAATATGCTTTGATGATAAACCTATGGACCAATTCTTTTCAGTCGAAGGTTGTAAGCATCGATACTGCTTTTCTTGCATGAAACAGCATGTGGAGGTCAAGTTGCTTCAGGGAATGGTGCCTAAATGCCCATATGAAGGCTGTGAGTTTGAACTCAAAATTGGAAGTTGTGAGATATTTATGACACCTAAGTTGATTCAGATGATGAAACAACGGTTAAAGGAAGCTTCAATTCCTGTGACAGATAAAATTTATTGCCCTTACCCTAAATGCTCGGCATTGATGTCAAAAACTAAAATTCTTCAGCTCCCAAGATTTGGTCATGAGAGTGCGGCTCGGACATGCTACAACTGTCTTGGTGCATTCTGCATGAATTGCAGGGTTCCATGGCACAACTATATGACCTGTGCAGAGTACAAGCAAAAAAATCCTATCCCCCTCGTAGAAGAATCACAGCTTAAAAATCTGGCAGCAAGGAATTTGTGGCGTCAGTGCATAAAATGCAAACATATGATAGAACTCAATACTGGTTGCTACCATATGACATGCAGGTACGATTTTTTTCATATAACTCATGTTGTACTTTGTTTATTGTGAGAGTATGTGGAACCCCAAGTCTCCAAATCACTCTCCAAAAGAGCCCTTGAGGAGAAACGGGAGGTTCCAACATATATACAGGAGAAATGGTCCAAGGCTAGCCAATGTGGGACTCTTCTTCTACAAAATCGTTACTTTTATGCTTTATGACGTAAACTAAATCCCTAGGTTCAACTAGGAGGGTCAGAGGGTAACTTTTAGAGCTTTATATTTAAAGGGTTTTCTTGTTTGAATCGAAGTAGGGGGTGAACAAGCAAAAGAGCTATATAAAGCATGTAGCTTGTTTAATTGTTAAAAGAAGAAAGGGGTGAGAGGAAAAAGATGCAAACACATGATACTAGGTCTTGTTTGTTTTAAAGAAGAACATCTTATTCACCACTTATGTCTTACCGAATATAGGCTCATACGGCTCAAGGTCTTGAGCTTTTTTCAAGTCGAGGCTCACTAAGGCACTGCCCCTCCGCTGTGGGTCTAGGCGTGCCTCATAAAAAGTTATTAAATACGTAGTCAAACCCTAAGATTAAATTAGTTCTCTCATCTTCCCATCTCTTAGACTAAAAAAAAGTTATTAAATAGATGACATAAGTCAAACCCTAATACTAAATACCCAGTACTTAGAACTTCAAGCCTCCTTCTCTATAATTACCCAGACCTTTCTCTTTCATGGCTCACGCTTTAAACCCTTCTGCCTCTATCGAAGTATTGTTGATTGCTTCATTTAGGGCTTGTACTTGCTGCATATTTGAGCTGTGTGTAACTGTGTATGTGTGTGTATATATTGATAAGATGCACCTCACATTCCTGAGGCCCGCGCCTCATGCCTACGTCTTGTGTCTAGGCCTGAGGACCGTGCCTTGAGCCTTTGACAACTTTGCCGAATAAGAGGTTAGACTTATAACACTGTCTTCTCTTTTCCATGTGATAAGAACTCAAAACCTCTTATTGTCCTCCTGCTGGACAAGAGGTAAACCCATGTCTAATAGCCTCTTACCGTTCTTTTATTGTCTAAAACAAAAATGAAAAATTTGGAACCCTAAAAAATAAGAGGTTTACGATTTGTACCTGATAATGGAACATTTGAGAATTAAGAACATCTAAGATGTACAAGTCTCAGTATCACAAAACTTGGTACTCTTATAGAAATACCAATATTTTTTGTTTTGATTTTTAAAAATGAAATAAAATATTATTTTTGGTAAGTTTTAATTAGCATTTATGTTTTTTTTTCCATTTGTTGGTAATAGTTTCTTAATATAGTTAACTTCGATTCTGCTCATACATTCAGACAAAATATTAGTTTACAAAAAGAGTTTTATTGATTCTGATTTCTGACTTCGGACTTCAGCACCTCTTAAGAAATGCATCTTATTCTTCACAATATCCCGATATTGTGGATATGCCTAGGTGATCACACCCTTGTTCATAATTAATTGCTAATCACCTATTATGGCATGAGGAATTGATGCTTAAATGACAGAAGTATCACCTATAGTTAGGGTACAGTTTGCAGCATATGGACTTCTATATAAATACAACTCCTTTTGGCTCCAAAGACTAGTCTTTTTAGATCTTGACATTTTGGTACTTTGTAATTCAGGATAACTATGAACCCTGAGGCCCTATATTATTAACTTCTTGTCTTGTCATTTCCATTGGCCTTGTCTGATTCTAGAACATTTTTCGTTCTATACCTAGGTCTTAGTGACGGAAGATACCATTCTTAAAGCATGACTAGTTCTTCCTGCTTATGCTTACTGCATGCTCTACTTTGCTATCAACACCGCTAAGTAGCATTTTTGTTTTGATTTAATCTAAAACTAGTAGATTCTAGAATGTTCCTCTGAACTACCAATTTTACATTTATCCTCTTCGAATTCATTAGAACAGTGTCTTCATAAAATGATTTTTAACAAACTGTTCGTCACCTATATAGAAACCGTCTATTTTGTCAAATGAGTGGTTAAGTTCTCTTACCCCATTCTTTAGTTCTATGCGATGAGAAGCATCTGCATATCATGGGTCGGGTTCCAGTGAAAATGGAAGTTATGGTGAGAATGGTGAGAAGGGATCTCCACCTTTGGGTCAATCCTAATTGAAGATCAACACTAATATGGTGCACCGAGATGCACTGGATCAATTCCTGTGATAAGCGCAATTCATGGGTGGGGGTGAGATTAAAAGTGATCAAGGGTCTAGAGTTGCTATTCTCACACGATCTTTCGTCTATATATAATGGGGGTATCAATTAGCATGAAACCTGTATGCCTTCGATGATGATACCGTGTTGGTTGATGGCACTTGGAAAATTGTTGGGAGGTATGGTTTAACACCTTCGAATGCCAAACTTTTCTCTTAGGTTCGACTAAAATGGAATAAAGTAAGCCTAGCTTTTTCTTTGTAACCGTGAGGGCTTGCTTGTGCGCACCTAGACTAATCCCATGAGGCCTTGAAAATAACAACCAAGAAAGGGAGAGATATGTAAGCATGATCACTTGGAAATAGTAGTAAAAGATGTCTATGGTTACTTGTGGTTAGTACTAATAAAAATTATCATACCGGTGATCTTGGTTGAAGGTCAACATGACCATTCTAGCGATAGACCTTAGAGCTTATAGTGTATACTTTGTTAATTTGGATTAATTGGGGGTCGCTACCCAAATGCTTACCCGGTAAGCACTTATCAGTAAGATTCAACACTCTCACTTGCCTTACCAGGTAAAATTTTAGGCCATCAAAACGGCATCGTTTGCAACAATTTTCCCGGTAACCGTTAACCGGATAAGATTTTTGGTCTTTGTCATCGCTCTGAACGGGTAAGATCCTCAATACTTTCCATGTTCATTCGTAAAGTAAGTGACCCACTAAGTACTTACCGGGTAAGCATTTGGTAAACGGCCCGTTATTGCTTAACGGTTTTAAGCTTAATCTCTTTTAATCTAAAGAAGAGATCCAACTTTAGTAGCAGGTACGGAACTTTCAGCAAGTTGTATTGAAAAGGCAACCCAATCATCTTATGGGTTTTGAGTTTTGACTATATCTTTGGTCATGCCTAGTTGTAATATCTGTATATCTATACATATGTATCCATATATACATGCTTGCACACCCTTGTGTTGACTTCGAGTGTAAAATCCCACGTGATTTGGTTGTTTTTGTGTTCTCTTATTTGGTTATTGTTCTCGTTTGGACCTCCCTTTACACTCATATGTACATTTGTGTATTAAACATGTTCAACTTGTACATAGACATTGTGTCGTAATTGTAATGTTTAATTTTGGAAAATTTGGTTGGTGTAGATGTGGATATGAATTTTGCTACACATGCGGAGCGGAATGGAAGAACAAGAAGGCGACGTGCAATTGTCCTTTGTGGCATGAAGACAACATCATGGATAGCGACGAGGAAGACGAAGATGAAGAGGATTTTGATTTTGATGATGATGATGATGATGATGATTATGATTATGAGGGGGATGGTTACGATTATAATTTTGATGATAGTTTTCTTTGAAGACATAACTATTTTGAATTAGGGAAGAAGGATCATTGTGGAATGTAACTTCCTTTATGGGGATTGAAAGGCTCGGAAATACTAATAAGTCGTTTCATGATGGTTTCGTTTATCATTTTATTCTTCGTTTTGTATCGAATTAACCCACATGCTCAACCGCTTATGTGGACCCATCAATTCACGAGAATACTATAAGTTACTTAAAATATAATATTAAAATCAAAATCTCTTAAAAATATTGTTTGATTTTTAATAATTTTTCTATTTAACAATTTAAACATCAATTATATATTAAAATAATTTATAAATTCATTATTTCAATACATTTTTGAGAAAATATATAGAAAATTATAATACATTTACTGATTCATTGATGGAAACAACTGAAATAATATCTCTCTCCTTAATATTAAGTTTGAGAGATTTTTTTTTAAAAATTAAAATTTTATCTTTCTTTCTTTATCTATTTTAGTATACATTTTAACATAACTACTGTAGCAAAAAAAGACTTATAAATCTTTAAAATATCTATTTTAATATAACTGTTGAAGATGTTCTTATTAGTCAAAACCTAATATAAACCGATACAGTTTTTACCAAAGTGGATAAGATGTATTAAATCGAGAACAATTTTCAAATTTTGAACAAATAAATATTAAATGAAAATGATTGTTTGATAAATTATAAACGTCTTTTTTTTATCACTACAATTTATTTGTGGAAATGATGTAATGCTTAGGAAAAATTAGTTACGTACCCAATTTAAAAAATATATATTAAATTTACAATCAAATACAATCAAATAATTTTATTTTGAATTAGATATTTCCTTTTTCAAAAACTCAATTAATATTCATAACGGTCTCTTTGAAGTTCTCAAAATAAAAATTGAAATTGGAAGCAAAATCTATAGAAAAATAAGCATTAAAGAAAGAGAATAAATGAATTTAAAAAAAAAAAGAATTCTTAAATAACAATTAAAGCATCATGCGTCATGATGTCTCCACATCTATACTGGTATTATAAGATAACAGCCTCTGAAAAATCGCAGACACGACGGTCCACGACACCGTTTTGACTTTCCTCAGTGCCACCACGTATCGTCGCCTTCCACGACCTACTTTCACTCCTTTCCTTTTCCTCCGTCGACGTGCCACCACCTTCTTCCTGACTCGATCTAAAAACTTTCTAGTTCTCTCTGGCATAGTCTCTTTCTTCGAGAAAGTGTAACTCCTAAGGTACAATTGCCTACAAGAGATGCTATTGACGCCCCTTGGTTGACCATGGCGGTGCAAATTAGATCTTGCCACCGTTGTATTCATGAACTCGACTTCAGATTTCGGCCATTTGTAGAGGTTCTGGTAGGTGGCTCTAATCGGGATTCTTGCATCATCAACACAATTTGGTATGCACACAGAACTCATAGTTTCTTTTTTTTTTTCCCGGTGAAAGAAAGAGATGGTATATTTGTAGAAGAGATCAGTGAAATGAGCTTATTGAAGTATTCTTATTAACGTTAAAAGAGTGAATTGTGGAGTAAGAAAACCACAAATCTACGATTATATCAAATCAACAAATTAATTACAACTTTTATGACTTATGTTGTGTTTGAAAAACTAGTCGTTGGTGATAAACGAGCATATTTAAGAAGTGATCAATGAAACGGTGTTAATGGAGAAATAAAGTATTTTTATAGCGACCTTAAAGAGATGGATTATGGTGTAAACAAAAGCACAAATCTTCAATTATATCAAATCAATGGATTAATTATAATTGTTATGACTTAGGGGTTGGTCGGTAATGGTTGTATGATATGTATGGCTTATTCGACAAGTCATGCATGACTGTTTAGTTGTATCTTATTAGTTTAGCAAGTGGATTATTCCCTCAATGCATTTGGAACAAAAAAATTAGTTGTAACTAGAACTTTGAAAAACGGGATTAAAAATTGAATATATAAAGATCTTTGAGAATGAGAGTTAATGTGAGAAGCGTAAGAAATGATCCGGACCCTTGATCATGTTCTTAAGTCCTTTAAATATAAAGAGTAATATGAGTTTTTAAAAAAACATTTAAAATCCTACTCTTTTGGTTTACAAAAGAGGTAAAACAATAATCAATTTTCTTTTATGTGTTCTTAAGACACATAATAAAGATATTTAATTTGAAAATATATATATATTTCTTATTTTTAGTTAATTACTTTTACAAATCTTTTTCTATTTCTCTATCTTTTTAGATTTATTTAATCATCTCCATATTTTTTTTTATTTGCAAACATAAAAATGACATATATATATATAGGTTGGTTATTATACAACCCTTAACATTTGTGCAACCAATACAACCCAATCTCAACCGTCCATTTCATTTGATAACCAACTCCAGACCCCATGTTCATGCTCAATTTATCAAGTTCTTTAGTAGTGATACAAGCGATTCCTAAAAGGGAGTCTAAGACGCCATAATGGTTTATGCGAGGAAGACGATGATGAAAAAGGACGGGAGGCTGAAGATATTGTTAACATTGCCTCTTATATCTGCAGTTGAAGGGTGAAGTCGAGGTCAGAATTGACGAGAATGACGATCGAGAGTTTATAACATTGCTCGAAAGACATCATCAGATTTTCAACATCTTCGACGTCCATGTTTCGGTAGGAAAAATTTACAAACCTCTCGTAATTATGAAAGCCTATCTTTTAAAATGTATTTAATACATTACTTTTAGCAAATAATGACTTGTATTTTAATTTATAAATACATTTCATATAAATAATACAAAAGTATCAAGTTAAGAAACCATAGGGGCTAAAAATGAAATTTATGCTTTTTAATTTACCATTTTACCCTTCAAATCCAGTGTTGAAGAAGGATAAAGGAAAGGGTTTGCCTTTGTGCAAGTTCCTCTTCGCTTGTATTGTAGAGAGAGAGACCTGCGAACTTTAGAGAGAAATCCATAGAAGATGAGCGGTGTGGGGAAGAAGGTGGCCGATGTGGCGTTCAAGGCATCAAAGACGATCGATTGGGATGGCATGGCGAAGATGATCGTTAGCGATGAGGCTCGCAAGGAGTTTTCCTCCCTCCGCCGTGCATTTGACGAAGTTAATTCAGCTCTTCAGACCAAGTTCAGCCAGGTATCGAACAACTCTCTCTATCTCCCTCTCTGTTTAGACGTTATGTGTGTATGCGTATTGGTATTTATGTGTTCGATGACGCAGATCTATATTCTATTGGATAGTTTGGCTTTCTTCAAACGCAAACAATTCGAGTTAGGTTTGATGATTTCTCTTTATTCGTTGGTTATAAATGTATTATGATGCTGGTTTTGTGGGTTATACTAAATTGAAATGATCATTGGAACATAGAGTAGGTTCATTTGTATGTGCTATTAAGGATACGATTTGCTTGGGCAATGATTTGACGAGTTTTGTGAAACTAGGGATTTATTTAGATTGGTATATCTCAATAAATTGATCAGTTGCCAATCTCAGATGAAATTAAGCGTTTTTTCTTTCTGTGGATTTTGTTGATGTTGTGATTCGGGTAGATATATTTATGTGGATAGTAGAGATGATTATTTTAGTAATCAATTGTGCTTACGCTATAAGAAGCATTGATCAGTATAGCACTCTACTCTCCTTTTTGGGCGTAAAATGGAAAAGACAGCTTTTTGTCACCTGCCTTTCATTAACCAAGACGAGATGGTCTTTCATTATTTATATTGTTGCTGATGGCAGATTTATTATATAGAAAGATCACTGTCTCAGTCTCTAATGTTGGTTAAGGACGAGGCACAAGTAATCTTATGCTGATTGTTTCACATTATAAAACGTCTTAGCAATCAACGGAGCAACAATGTTTCATCTAAATCGTGTGGTTGTAGAGTTTCTGGCCTTTCGGTATCTGAAATGTAAGGAGTCATGAATCTCATTGACAGAATATATTACACATCATTCCAGTAAAAAAATTTTGCACGTAGTGTACAATTACTTAAGAATTGGAATTGCCAAAAACTAGTTATCATATCTGTCATTATTTTCCACATGGAAACTTGCAAGTTTTAAGTTTATAGAGCATTCTTTTAGCATGATACCCCTTGACTCTTCTATGTGTGTGCTTCCTTGATTTGGACTTGATCAGATGCAGGATATTCTAATGTTGGCATGCCCCAGTTTTTATGCTCATATGACCAACACTATTATATATTTATATTCTAATCTCATATGATGTTAATCCAGTTTGATTGCTTTTTGTGTATTTCAGGAACCAGAACCAATTGACTGGGAGTACTACAGAAAGGGACTTGGATCGCGCATAGTTGATTCTTACAAAGAATATTATGATAGTATGTCCTGCTTTTCAAATTTTGATTATTTGCAAAGATCTTGTTTGGTTATCATGTTCACTTGTATGTAAGAAATGTGAATTATATGGTAAACATCTACTTGATGAGAATCTCGTCTTGGTATTAGTTTCCATTACATAGGCAGTAGTTCTAACTGATTGTCTTTAGTCTATTTTTCAAATCTGCCATGATCAAATTTGTTTAACTGCTGTACGCATAGAAAAATCCTATTTAGATATGGTGAGGGTGAGTTAACCATTTTGATGACCTACTAGTGAGAAGCCATAAACTAAAGAGTGCAACAAAGAGCCCATTGTTTTTAAGTTGATTCAAAGTTGAAGTTTGCTACAAATAAGAAGCTTATTCAACACTTCTGAGGGGCCATTACTAAACACTTACCCCAGGTAAGCACTAAGCGCTTACCTTACAGATTGAGCATGGCAAGTCCGAGAATCTTACTCGGTAAGAGGCATAGCAATGGCCGCGAGTCTTACCCAGCAATCGAGGGAAAAGACTCTTACCCGGTAAGCGCTAGTTGAAAGGCCGCCTTTTTACTTGCACAAGGTGCAAGGTTCAAGTCTTATCATGCGTGCAGAGCGAGAGGATTTAAGCTAAAGTCTAGCTTAAGTATTGTTGGAACTTGGAGTGCAGTGGTAGGAAAATGGATTGCACAGGATGACCTGTTCTAAATATGTATACAGTCAGAAGTTACTTAGGGGATAATGAGGTTTTGTTTTGATAGTGCGTTTCAATAAGATTCTAGGAGGCCTTACCATGGTCATCACCTAAGAGCTACTGGAACTCTGTGTTGTTATTACATGCATTCAAAACAAATAATAGTATTGATTTTCAAGATTAAGTGTTAAAGTCTTCATTTTGTTAGCACTCCGATATCTAAAATATGGAAGCACAGATTTTGATAAATTAACTCAATCTGATTACCATGGGTTCCTATATGTTTGAGGAAAGAAAGCTTCTATTTAAAGGCTAAACAAGTCTGGAAGTTGGTCCTCCGATGAACGTAAAACTTCAAATAAAGGGTATGTTGAATTGCTTGTAAAAAGTGACTATTGACTCACACTTAAAAGAACTCCACTAGAGAATTCTAATATGCACTGCTTGATGTTCATCTGTTGCTTGTTTCATATTTTTCTCTTTTCAGTTAAGATGTCTACTTTGATGGTTTAATGCAGAAACATCTAACTAGGGACAAACATGAAATACTCGTCTTTTTTTCATTTTTCATGCACTTTATCTAGCCATTCCCATATGAAAAAGAAAATGGGACTTGACTTCCGTTCCAATTATTGAACTAATCTAGGGGCCGTTTGCTAAACGTTTATCCAATAAGTTCTTACTGGGTAATTTTCTTTACCGGTTGAACATGACAAGTCAAAAATCTTACCCGGTAAAAGCAATGATAAAGATGAAGAGTCTTATAAGTGAATGTGATGACTCTTACCCGGGTAAGCGCTTACCGGATAAATTGTTGCATACAATATCATTTTGATGTACTACAATCTTATATGGTAAAATAAATTACAATGTTAACTCGTAACGGTAAGAGCTTACCGGGTAAGCATTTAGGTAAACGGCCCCTTACTCATTCATAGGGTCTGGTCTCCCTTCACTCCTTCAGTTGTGTTAGTTTTCAAAGTGATCAAGTTAAAACAAAGTTGTCATGGTTCAAAGGGGAATCATCATTGTGAGATTTAGAGGGTATAATTACTTAAATTCTTTTTTTATTTGGATGTGATGAATTTGAATTGCGCAATAGGCAGAATATGTAGCATTTAGTCTGCAAGCATGTGAACCCTTTTTGTATTTCTTGTTGTACATTCATTTGGCAAGTATTTTTATGTTTGAGATCTGCTTTCACAGTCTGGTTAATTACTCCCTTCTTTCTATACAGGTGTTGAAATCCCCAAGTTTGTAGACAAAACAACTCCAGAGTACCAACCAAAGTTCGATGCACTGGTTAGCACTCCTTCCCATTTATGTTGGAAAATATTTTTTGCAACCCCCCCCCCCCCCCCCCCTTTTCCATCTGTAACAAACTAATTAGCATCACAAGCAAAAATTTGATGCTGAACTTTTTATTGTGTTTGCTATTTTGAAAAGCTCTTGGGATTAAGGGCTGTTCTTTTTTAATTTTAAACCTCATTTATTTTAAAACACATCAATTTTGTCCAATTCGAATCAAATTAACTTAACATAAATGACTAATATGAGACAAGAGGACGAGTAGAAAAACAACTTGAGAAAGATAATGTATTAATGTTAATCATCTTGATCATCTATACTATCTTATTAAGCAAATTTAACAAAAGTCTTAAAGTCTTAAAATAATAAATGACCAAGATACCCTTTATATTACCCTTACTCACTTTTTCACCCACCTCTCTCCTCACATACCCTCACCCTCTCACAACCAATTTTTTTAAAATTATAATTTTAAATTTACACTTTATACCCCTATAATTAGTTAATTAATTTACTTTACATCCTTTACTTTTAAATGTTTCATTTTAAACCTTTATCAAATTAACATACATAATCTGATATCAATTAAAACATGTTTAAAAAATACATTTTTATTTTAACAAGTTACACCATTATAATCATCTCGTTAATATCTTCGAAATGAGTCCAATATTGAATGGTTTTTGACTTAATTATATTATTATATATTATATATACTGTAAAAAATATTTTTAATATTTACGATTTATACTTTTATAGTTATTTATTTATATATATACTATATATTTTGGGGTTAGGCTGTCCAAATTGCACTGTATAATATGTTCTTGGGTTTTTTTTGAAATATATATATACATGTATTAATTCAACCTTAATATGAGTTTCTGGACAAGAAAGAGGGTAAGCAGTTGAAATTTCATTCTAAAACCCATCTTTTTTGTTCTTTTTATGGCTTATGATCTGTCAAATTTGTAGTTTTCTTTATTGGTTTTGAGTGTTTATCTTAAATTACTTTGCTCTTGGTGTAAATCGAACACATTTGTGGAGTCGTTTAAATATGTTGGATTTTAAATATATTGGATTTTAAACTGTCATACAATATTTTTCATCGATAGTCTATAATTGGAACCATAACTCTTATTTATTCAAATTGTATTAATATGTAAAGACCATGTGTAACCTATATCATCGTTAAATCTTATCTTATAAAACCAGTGGAACTTCAAAATCGTTAAAATTCATGGCTCCCGCCGCATTGCGCGGGTACACAACTAGTTATTCATGATTTATGCTAGTTAATTTGCTTGAAGCTGGACGAAAATGATGTAATTGATATTTCTGAGATCACAAGTTTATCGCTGAGAAATCTTTCTATATAATTAAAATTTAAAAGAAGTGTGAAAACACCGACCTTTTTTGTTTATTCATTTTCCCTTTATTGTTTAATTGTTTTCAAGTATGATTTGAATAAAAGGCGAGTTATTCGCATAATCAGTTTATGGTGAAACTGTTTTATAGAGGTGTGTTTTTGAAATTACAGTTGGTGGAACTGAAAGAGGCTGAACAGAAATCCCTCAAGGAATCTGAAAGATTGGAAAAAGAAATCACCGACGTCCAAGAGCTGAAGGTAACAGTCCATTCCCTTTCTACCCTTCTCATTCGTTTTTGTTCCAACTTTTAGCCGATAGCTAAATGAATTTCTTATGATATTTCTTGCAACAGAAAAAACTTAGTACCATGACGGCTGATGAATACTTTGAGAAACGGCCCGACTTAAAAAAGAAATTTGACGATGAAATCAGAAATGATTATTGGGGCTACTGATTTATGGTTTGGTTGCTTCATGAGGAGAAGCTATTTGAACCCATTCCTTTTTCTTTGGTGTTTTAGAAATAAAACAAAGAGGAACAGAGATATGATTATTATTTGTTTGCTTGGCAGTTTGAAGATCCCTTCTTTATTGAGGTAATGAAATTTATGTTTTCAAGAAATAAAACGATCGAATGCATTACATTTTCTCATCGTGGTGGTGTATTCCGTATGGAAATGTTGTGGAATCATATGATTGGTTAGGTTTTTGCTAGGTATTCGGGCCAATTTACGCACACTGACAAATGGTTGTAGCTGGAATCGGCGTTGGTGCCAATTCTAGCTGGACTGGTCTTTTACCATAATATGACATGAAGCTTTGCAAAATGGTCTGGTTGTTACATGAAGCTTTTCCCAATCATCTCCCACATGTGGCCTAGGAGGTAATCCCTTGTGTGGACACTTTCTCAGGAATTTTAATTAAATTCATAACTTTTTGGTATTATCAAAAAAAGTAAAATGAATTTATATTTGTTAGAAGGTCATGAATTTAATTAAAATATCATTTAAACTATATATATAAATATCTCTGTATGGTCAAGGTGGTGTAACAAAGGTGTTTTCATCCTAGTAGATCGTAACCATACTAATGGTAGTTGTGTATCCTTGTGACACAGATATATAAGATTTTCTTTAAAAAAAAAAACTACATAAAATCGGTTAGGAAAGTTTTTAAAGTAAAAAAACTTAAATTAGTTTTACTGCTTCCAACCCTATGTCATTCAAACCTCTATAATCGCCTCGTTGTTTGCTCTCTATTGCAACCATCACTATTGTTGGCCCTGTCATCGATCTCTATTTTTGATTTTTTTTTTTTTTTTGATTCTTCATCTTTTTTGATATGTCTATATGTGTTCCATTAAATTGTTGTAAAAGAGGGAGAATCGGAAGGAAAAAAAAGGATAAAAAAGATGGAGATCATAGGAGGGGTCAATGGTAATAATGGACCGTAGGGAGAACAACCAACTTTGGGGAAACAAGGGAGTGGCGTCGTTGTGTGCGAAGGGATTGAATGATGTAGGGTTTGGGACGATAAAACTGATTTATGTTTTTGTATTTTAAAATACTGTCAGTCGGTTACATGCCACTTTTTTGGGTTAAAAAATGTAGATGATTTAAAAGTTCATTGGTTTATTTATTCAAAAGAAATGTTGAGAGACTTGATCACTCAAAAATGATAAAATTTAATGATTTTTTTCATTCAAAAAAATAGTTTAAGAACTTAATAATTCAAAATGAGAAAGTTTAATGATTTTTCACTCAAAATTCTTTTTAGAAACTAAACCATTCAAAATAGGAAAGTTGGTTTTTTTTTTTAACTTTTTCCTATTTTATATGGTTCTACTTGCACGATCCGACCTTTATCATGCTTGGTAATGTACATCAAGCCGTAATCTGACTGCCATGACTATGCTCCATGGCAAGTTTTGGTCACTCATATGTCCGAGCACATCCTGAAAATTGAAACATACGGTTTGCAAAAAAAAAAAAACAAACTCATCTTAAAAAAATCAAGTACTACTGTTAGTTTATTCTTTAATAATCGTTTGTATGTCAAGAAATTGACCAAGAAATTCATACAGAATTAGATTATACATGCATCCTACTCATTCTTTTAATCAGAAAATGTAATTGGAACCAAGTTTCAAGAGATGTTGGTTGGAAATAGGAACAAGAACGAGTATGATAAGCCGTAGAGATGATCGATTCTAAAATATCTGGTCAAAAGAACTAGTTAACGCAATTCGAAAAAAAACATGTTGTAAGTACGGTTTTTATCTGGTTTTGGTTCGATCTGAAATGCTCATCTCTAAAATCAAGATAAGGAATCAAAATGTCAAGAAATAAAAAGACGTTCCTTTCGATTTACAAAAGTGTGGATAATTATTATTTTTAAATAATCACTCATAATTGTAGTCGATTGAAGTAAACATTGATGATTATTTACGTTCCTCATCTCGCTACCACATTTTTGTATAAATTTGAGGTGCAACTGAAATAAATGACGAAGAAAAATTCAAGTTACGGTGTTCTAGGTTGAAATTAAGTTTATAGGATTCTAAGGTAGCCGAAATTGAGAGTATTTGGGACTGTTTGTTTGGCTCTGATTAGTACCATTTGTAGCCTATGTTTAAATCGATCAGATTATTTGGTAAAAAAGTAATATACTCCTTAAGATTCCAATAGGCTTTGAATCACTTGACTTTTGGAACCCACCCATATTATTTCCCCTTGATTGTCTATTTTTGCTCTCGTCTCTGTTCGTTCTATTACTCTTTGTTTCAACTTTCGCTATTTCTCCCTTGTTGATCCCAATTTAGATCAAAAATCAGGTGGAGCAACCGTAGGTATCTGGTAATAAACAGTTTTAAAGGTTAAAAATAGGAATATGTATGCGTCTCATTTGTTGTATATATTTATCTATACTTAAAAACCATGCACCATGTACTGTTTAATTATTCATATTACTTGAAATCCAAGATTACAAGTAAATATTGCATGAGTACAACTTTTTAAAGCTATATGTTTGAATTCATATAACTAAATTTCCTCCTAATTGTGAGAGAGATGTTGATATGGTCTTCAATCCATTAGCCGGGTTCAATTAGGGTTGTTCGTCCAAAATTATTTTCTTTAATAAATTATTCGTTACAAAAAGATTTATTTCTAAATTAAATAATTTATGTTATTTTTTTAGACTTTTTCAAAATAAACAAGTAAAATTGAGATATATCTTTTAGTAGAGCGGGGCCGGAAATGAAGTCGTGAAGAACCCAAATAGGCCCAAAGTTACCCACAGCTCCAGCCTCTGCTGCTCGCGAGTCGCGAGTCGCGATGCACGGTCCCGCTCCGTCTCCCACCTCATGATACACCAACGCCCTCACGCTGCTACCGAATCGCCCCTGCGCCTTGCTGCTGACCGCTGTCCGCCGTCGGCTGTTTGCAATCTGCTGCCGACGACCTCCTCTGCAATATTCAGGTACCTTTCTCTTTACTTGTATACTTAAATTGACTCACAGATTTTCACCAATCATGGGGAATATTGGGGATTTCATTTTGTATTACTGTATAGATGCGAATCCGTTGGGGAATATGATCAATTTGCTGATACCTTTCTCTTCGGCTGTCCGAAAGAGGTTTTCTATATGCAATCTGCTTACTTCTAGTTGGGGAATAATGGGGATTGTATTTCTATGGCTTGTCACTTGTTAAATTTTTTCTATTTAGTGGCAAATTGGCAATACAAGAGTTTTTAACGTAGGATTTTCTTGTTTCATCGTATCCACAGCAGTAATGCTCTAAACTTTGGATGCCAAAATCCTTCTCTTATGACTTGATCAACATTCCAACAAGCATAGATCAAAAGCCATTAATGGAGATGGGGTCTTTATGATTGTATATAATGCACTATTTATCTCTAGTCATTCAACTGGTGCCACTGTGTGTTTTGCGGATCCACTTGTACTTTATTTGAACCTGCTAAGTTTGTTGCCAAGCTTAGAGATATGAAAACAGATGAGAATATATTGCTGTTTAAATGCAGAGATGGGAGCAGGTCACTTACTGAAATACATGTTCAATAGTTCCAAATGAAGGTGGCTTTAATCCAACCAAATCATTCAACATCTACCAAACAAACTCTTATCTATATGATGCCATCTTTTCTTTCTCATTTCAGCAAGATTGTCAATTGCTCTGTTCAAACCCTAAAACCTGTGGTGTTCTTCCATTCCTCTCCAACCCTTTTGTTGAATCATAATCAAATACCAACTGGGGTTCCATCTCCATCTCGAATCCAGAAACTCATAGCTTCCCAATCAGACCCACTTGTAGCTAAAGAGATTTTCGATTTAGCTTCCAATGCATATCCAGGTTTTCACCATTCCTACGCAACATTCCAGACTCTCATCCTTAAACTCGGCCGGTCCCACCATTTTTCCCTCATGAATTCCCTTCTGTCCTGCCTCAAATCTGATCATCGGTACACTGTCACGCCTTCCCTCTTCACTCATATCATTCGCATATATGGGGATGCAAATTTGCCTGATAAAGCTCTCAAGACATTCTACACGATCCTTGAATTCAACATCAAACCACGAGCGAAGCAACTGAATGTAATTCTTGAGATCCTAGTGTCACAACGGAACTATCTCCACCCTGCTTTTGACTTATTTAAGTCCGCTTATCAGTATGATGTTTCTCCCAATGTCGAATCGTATAACATTTTGATGCATGCTTTTTGTTTGAATGGCGATCTTAGTATTGCATACAACCTGTTCAATCAAATGCTCAAGAGAGACGTTGTTCCAAATGTTGAGTCTTACCGGATTCTGATGCAGGGTTTGTGTCGAAAAAGTCAGGTAAATAGGGCCGTGGACTTGTTAGAGGATATGTTGAACAAAGGGTTTGTACCCGATTCTTTAACTTACACGACTCTATTGAACAGTTTATGTAGAAAAAAGAAGCTTAGGGAGGCTTATAAGCTTCTATGTAGGATGAAGGTCAAAGGATGCAATCCCGATATCATTCACTATAATACCGTTATTTTAGGGTTTTGTAGGGAAAATCGTGCACACGATGCTTGTAAGGTGCTCGAGGATATGCCTTCAAATGGTTGTTTACCGAATTTGGTGTCTTATCGCACTTTAGTTGGTGGCTTATGCAGTCAGGGTTTGTATGACGAGGCTAAAACTTATTTGGGTATAATGGTGTCAAAAGGGTTTTCTCCTCATGCGTCGATATGGCATGGCTTGATCGGTGGGTTATGCAATATCGGGAAGATTGATGTAGCGTGTTCGGTTTTGGATGGAATGCTGAAGAGTGGGGAAGCTCCGCCTCTTTATACTTGGATGGAGGTAGTTAATAGGGTTTGTGTGGTGGAGACTGAACCCGAACGATTAGAAGAAGTATTGAAGGTTGAGATAGAGGCTCATACACGAATAGTGGAGGCCGGTTTCGATTTACAAGAATGGTTAGTCAAGAAGGCTCGAGCAAATGGCAAGTTTAGATCGGGAAGGGAAAAGGTCAGATGGGGTTTGCATTGAATTTCTAGTACAATGAAGCATTACGAGAACCTTAAACTCTAAACCCTAAACCGAGATTTTTTGGGACAAGATAAGGCCTCGATGGGTTTGAAACTTATGATCTTGAAAACCTTCAAATTTCTTCAGGAATTGTATATCGCGTTTATCTCGCATAATGTCTTTTGAAGTAAGGAATTGGAATAAATTGTTATAGGTTTGACTAAGGGGCTCATTATCAAACACTTACCTGGTAAGTGTTTATCGGTAAAATTTAACACTAGCACTTACTTACCATGTAAGACTTTTGGCCACCAAAACGGCATTGTATGCAACAATTTACCCAGTAAGCGCTTACCATGGTAAGAGTTGTCGCCCTCACTTACCGGGTAAGACTCTCGGTCCTTGTTTCCCTCTTATCGGGTAAGATTTTTGGTCCTTACCATATTCATCCGTTAAGGTAATGTGACTTGGTAAGCGCTTACCTGGGTAAGCGTTTGATAAATGGCCCCTAAGGTTTGGTTTATAGAAAATAGAATGGAATATGTGAAATGAATTGAAATATTGCTATTTGTTTTAAAGAATATAGCTTATGAATTGAAAGTATATAACTAATGAAAAAGGACAAAAATACTTTTTCTTTGAATTTGTTTTATTATAATTTTTTTAATTTATAAATAATAATAAAATTAACGTTTAATTTAAAAAATACATGTAATTTACCAGGATTTTATTAAGTAAAAATAACGTGACATTTCTTTTATTGATTCTTTATTTTTTTTTTGCAAAATAGCTTTAAAAAAATGATAATCCTTTTTCTTGTCCAAAACACCATACAAATTCCTCATTGAAATTATTGTAATTTACAAGAAAATTTTACATTTCATTGAATTGTACATATATATAACCAGTAGTAACAATAAATAAGATAACCCATTTACAACAATGATAGTTTTATAAAATGACACCATGCTACCTATTTTTTTTTAATTAACATGCATGTTCAACCTGTTATGCGAGCCGACTAATCCCAGAACGACCATCTGTTTTACAGGTAGCCCAGAGTAATCGCATTTGAAACTCCGTGACCATTTTTATTTCTCCTTGAATTTGAACTTGGGACCTCCATGCACTTTTGACTTTTGGAGACTAAGCTCAAACCAATCACACACCACATTTATGGTTCACCATGCTACCTTTGAGTCTTGCATGTAATGGTTGAGCAATAGGAGTTTAGGGTCATTTAGGTATATACTTTTAAATAAGATTTTAATTAAATCAATGATCTTGCTCGCTTGTTTTAGGAGCGAGAAGAGTAATTTTTTTAAGGAAAAGCGAACAAGTCTTTTTGTATCAAATAAGACCTTTCTAAATGCAGGATATTTAAGAGGAGGGTCTCCTCGCCTATTAAAGAAAAGATGTCTTCATAGTTATCAGAAATTTATGAATTTAGTTAAAATCTCATTCAAAATTATATACTTAAATATTCCGTTTATAGAATTATTTACTCTTTGTTACATATATCCAAAAGATGTCATTCAATATAACAGAAAGGTATACTTCAAAGATGGACCCAAATCAACAAGTGATTTACAAAATTGATGGCATGTTATCAACTCATATACGATGTAACAACATATAGGTTTGTCGTCAAAGCTACGAATTAATGTGGATCTTTTTCAAAAAGACCGAAAACCATGTATAATCGTCACTTCCTGTTTTATATGCATCCAACTCCAATCAAGACTCCGGCTCGGGCTCAGGCTCAGGCTCGGACTGGGGCCAATTTATAACTTCTCGAAGTTTCAATGTTCTACCATAAAATTCCTGCAAGATACAGAGCGAAAAAAATACCAACTGTTATGGTTAATAAATGGGTCGTTTTGGTTATAACGATTTTTTTTATAACTTTAAATTCATGACCTTCTGACAGGTTTGAAAATGTCACTTTTATATACAGGAATGCCACTAAACTTGTCGGAAGGTAATGTTGTTAATAAAATTCTCTCATTTGAGGTCATTGATCAAACAGAAGAAAAATGCAGGGAAAGCAGACAGAACTGTGCCATCGAAGGACATTGCAGCTTCAAGTTCTGCAGGTGTCGAGAATGAAAGAAACCCGTATACACGATTCTTTCCACCTTTACGATCGTGCAGCACCGTCGTGCTAACCACAGTACCAAACTGGCTGAAGTGATTTCTCAGGTCCTCAGGTTTGACGCTCCATGCAAGATTACCAGCATAGACCTTGTAAGGTGACTCAAATACCAAGTTCTTTTGAGGTCGTGAACTAGTTACGGCGCTTCCCCATTTACTATTCATATCGGCTGCAAACCTGACTCGCATCTCACGTCCATCAACGTCCTTTTACAAAGAACATAATATTCTCAGTTTCAAAGTTGTAACTTGTCTACAAATTAATTGTACCTTTTGAAAATTTAGAGGACCCCAAGTGCACTAAGATACCAAACAAATTAGTTACAAACATCAAACCAAAATGTAGCATACTCAGGTTATTTTTTTCTGATAAGTTGATATCAAGAGGTTCCATGGCAAACACCCCCCAAATTTTAGGTCTTCTAACCCACATGTATAGCCCCAAACAATTGATGGCACTTAGTGAGAGCACCAAGTTCAAGTTACTTGCTAAATGAAAACACCCAGGTTTCTTCAATCAATTCCTTAATAATGCTATGCAGTGAGAGGTTTGTCCCTAGATCAAATGTCTGATTATGATTTTTTCAAGAGTTCCATATCGGCTAGATTTGGACTATTTCTCGTCAATATATATTGGAACCCTCCTTTCTCTTCTCAAGGGCTCCTTTGGTGATTATTCTGGGGTTTTACATATCCTCACGTGGTATCAAAGCCAAGATCCTACCACTCTAAGGACTTGACACTCTAGGCAATCTATACTGTCTAGCCCTTAACTGTCTAGTCCCTTCTCGGCACTCTGGGAC